GCAGGCCCAGGACACAGAGGCTGACAGAGGGTCAGTGTGCATGCATGCATGGCAGGCCCAGGACACAGAGGCTGACATCATATCCTGAAAGCACAGACAAAGGTCACTTTGGCTCTTCAGATCACATGCATAGTGCTTTCTTTTTATTGTTGTAGGGTACCAGACCTCTGGGATACCAGCAGTTTCAAAATAAAGAGCAGACAGAAATCTAGTGGGATCTCAAGAAAGGGTCAAGTAGTATCTTTTGGTTTTAAAAGGGATCACTTTAAAGATTTATTTATGATTACTTTATGTGTGCCAGTATTTACCTACATGTATCCTATGCTAAGGGACCATTTTAAAGTTAGATGTTCAGATACAGCATGTGTAGTATTCAAATCCATTATACCACGTGAGAAGAACCTGAGGTGAAAGCCAGACTAGGATTCCATTAGCTGGCCAGTAGAGGGAGAGTACAGCAATGGGCAAGGCTGGGAGTGCTGCTCAGGGAAGCACTGGTCTAGCATGCAGGAGGCCCTGGGTGGGGAGGAACTGACTTCACTAGGGCCTTGGAACCACAGAGAGGAGGACCAGATCCACTCTGACTCTTGATTAGGTTAAGTCTACACAGCTGTGTGAGCTAAACTTAAGATTAACCAGAGCACATTTTTAATGTATACAAATTATACTGCAACTTAGAAAAATACAATTAAAGAATGCAAATTTCTAAATAGAATATTCACATGCAATATTCACATCTAATTTTTTTTAATTTATAAAAGTCAATTTCTAGCCAGGCATGGTGACACGCCACTATAATGCTAGCACTCAGAGGCAGAGGCAGGAGGATCCATAAATTCAATACCAACCTGGGTACACAGTAGGCTTATGAAAACATTTAGTACTGCTCCAGAACTACAATGTTCAAACACGCTCTAGCTCCATCTCAGCATGCACTTAGGGGTCAGGCATGTGTGTACAGGACAAATGCACACATTCCCATCCAAGCACTCAAAACTTGTGTGTGTGTGTGAGCACATGTACATATTTGTGTGTTTTATACATATAAATATATATCTTATAAACGCTTACATTCTAGGTTTCTATTGTAGAAAACTCTCCATAATTTACAAAGCGAGAGAGAAAAGAGGGAGGGAAGGAGCAGGAAAGACAACTGCTTTGGGTACAGGAAAGTACGACAGGGTGTCCGTCTCAAAGGAGCACAGCATCACAAGCTGCACAGTGATGGCTGTGTCTCAGTCAGCACTGAAACCGAAAGAGCCGCTCAGGTGAAAGCTGTCCAGAGATTTGCTGAGTCACGGGGTGGGGGTGGGGGGGGGGCCGGGGGGGGGTTGACCATGGCAGGATGTGTCCAGAGGGCCCAAGGTTCCACATCATTGTAGACCCATACTGTCTTTGGACTGGAAGGAACATTTTTGCCCCAATCAAACCAAAGCAAAGTGGGAAGAGTCTCTACAAGCAGATAAAATTCTCTCCTCACCTAGCTCTCCACTCTCAATTGAGGAAAAGAAAAAGGAAAAAGCTGGATTCATTTTATTGGACTTCTATCAGAAAATCTAGTCAGTTAAATATTTGATTTTAATTAAAAAATGCATAGTTCCAGTAAATTAGTTGTGCTATTTAAGACCATTCAAGGTCTAGGGTTTGCCCAAGACTTTAAACCAACCCTCTCTCAGGAGGTCGTCACCTTCTGGAAAGTAGCTATTGCAGGCCAGAGTCTGCCAAGAGCCCTCCAGTGCTCTTCCACTCCAGAGGACCCATGTCTACCATGGTGATGATCTCAGAGAAAGAACAGGAGCAACAGGGAGACAGCAGGAGCCCTGTCTCCTCCATTTTCTGTTTGCTGTGATCAAAAAGCACTTCCAATCTGTCTTTTTATCCCCAGCTTTTTTCCTTGGCACACTGGCCTCACGTGTCTCCACAGGGTAGCAAGGGCCAGAGTCATCACTGCTTTAAGGCAGAGCACTATCCCATCATATGTGTTACCTTTCCTCTCTGTTCATCTCATTCACATTCAAATTGCTTCTACCTCCGGCCTACTGTAAGCCAATCAATCTTTTCTTTTTCATCCAAATCCAAACATTTTGTCTGCAACTCTTTCCACCCCTCCTCCTATCAGTAAAGCCCTCTCTTCCCTTCTCCACTTCCACCCTATCCTCTACCTGAAGGTGCTATCCTTTCAGTCAGTATTTCTACAGGTTTGTACCTTCAACTTCTACTTCCCCAAAGATCATTCCTAGTCACAAATTCCTCACTAAAAAACAGCCCATGGCTGTGCTCTCTAATCCCAATACTCAGGAGGCTGAGACAGGGGGATCATGAATTCAAATCAACCTGGATTAGAGAACCTATCTCCAAAAGCAGGGAGACAAGGGCAGAGGTGTTGTGTAGCAGCAAAACACTTGCCTAGCAGGCACAAGGTCCTAGGCTGTCTCCAGCATGCAGAGAGATGGAGAAGAGAAAGCAACAGAGGCAGAGGGGAGGGAAGGAGCCTTCACATATAAGTAATACCCAGGATTAACTCCCAGGAGCTCTACCAGGGAGAAGGGAGAGGGGAGAGGGGGGAGGGGAGAGCGGGGACGGGGTGGGAGGCTGGGAGCCGGATGAAGGAAAGAGGGAGACAGAATAGGACCAAGGCCCTGAGC